TTGTATCCCCTTTTCCCCTTTTGAGTTGTTCGCCGCCCTGAGTCCGTCCCGGAGAAGGGCGGCATACAAATAAACTAAGTCTTAAATCTTAAATCATAAGGTGGTTGGCATGTTCCAAGCAGCCCAGCCACAGAGATGATTTATTCATGGATTCCTCTTATTTCGGGAGGGGGGTAATTCTCATTGTACTTCCTCCCAGGGGAGAGGAGAAATACTGACTCTTGGCTGAAAAGAGCCTGTAGCCCCTCAACCCCAACACCTCTGCCCCTCACTCTACACTAAGGAGCTTTCTTAGAGCTGGGCTATCCTCTTTCTGAATTGACCCTATTAATCCTTTGGTCAGTCAGGTTGTTGCAAAAGGATTTCCAGCCATGCAGTCATTGGCACTTGATACTAAAGAGGCATGTTAGTAGCGGCAATACAACTGTTTAGAAACACACTTCTAATTTCTGTTTAAAAACTTGGTGTCATGTCATTTCAGAGTGTTGGTGAGAATTATGCTGTCAGCTTCTGATCTGTGGCAGTTTAAATGGATCAGGCCATTGATTTTAAATGCTTACAATGGGCCTCTTTTGAAACTTTTGTCTTTGAAGACAGGGGTCTGGTGACTCCCTTTTATTATTCAGGGTGTCTCACCTTTTATGGATTGTTATGTTTCTTTTGTTTTTGTTTTTGATTAAACCATGATATCCAAACCTCTCCTTGATACCGTGTTTTCCCGAAAATAAGACAGGGTCTTATTTTCTTTTGGCCCCCGAAATACGCGTTTGGCATTTTCAGGAGGACTTATTATTTTTGAGGTGCAGGAGGCGGCGAGTGTGGTCACCTCATGGCTGCTGCGGTGTTGCTATATTTTGGGGGGAGGGCTTATTTTACTGCATGCGCTCAAAAGCCTGATTGGGCTTATTATCCATGGAGGTCTTATTTGGGGGAAAACGGTAGATTACAGGTAGTCCTTGATTTACAACAGTTCATTTAGTGACCATTGGCACTGAAAATAGTGGCTTATGACCATTTTTCACACTTATGACCATTGCAGCATCCCAATGGCCACGTGATTTACATTCAAAAGCTTGACTGTTGACTCATATTTATGAAAGTTGCAGTGATTCATTTAACAAACATTGGCAAAAAAAATCATAAAATAGGACAAATTGAGTTAACAAATGCTTTACTTAATAACACACATTTTGTGCTCAACTGTGTGGTTGTAAGTGGGGGACTGCCTGTACTCCCCACTCTCCAAAATGTGTGTGTGTAATATTGTAAATAATTTAATAGAACCTAGATGTGTGTTTGACAGACTTTCTCCTCCCCAGGGAAAGATTCCTGTCACTTCACACAGGAACCTCCAGTATGGCTGGACTGCCTATTTATTGGGAGACAGAGCTAGTGCAAAATTCAATCCATACAGCAAAGTCTTCACAGTGGATGGTAATCTGCATTCTGGCACAGCGAAACTCGCCCAACAAGTGGCAGAAACATTGGGTATGTAATGGGCTGTTGGATATTGCTAAACTGTGCTGTATACAGGCAGTCCTCAAGTTATGAATGTAATGGAGCCTGCCAATTACATCTGCAACCGGAGTATTCGTAGGGGTGAATCACGTAACTTGAACGGGATCGCACCCTCCTCTCTCTAATCGAATGCACACGTCTTTCAGTGCATGAGGAATCTCAGGGTGGGGAAGACCCAGGGAGGGGGGAAGGGCTAGTGCTTCCGGGCCTCTCAAGACTGCCTCCCCCAACCCACTGAGAGATCTCATCCTGCCTGACGGGGTCACTTACCCTACGTAGACCTTGATGATCAATGGAGCTGTCTCCTCTCCAGCCTCCCTGCCGCGGTTTTGCCTCAAGCAAAGGCTTGCTGAGGCCTGCAGAGACGAGTGATTGTGTCCCAATAGACTCCAGTCGTCTTTGCAAAAAGCCTCCTTTGCCCATGAGAACAGAGCCCAGATCCGTATGTGTGTCCCTCTGGGGCTCCGTCCTGGTTGGCAAAGGCCTTTCCTCAGGTGAGTAAGATAAGAGTAATTGCCTAAAGTTTCCAGGTATACACAGGCAGCTATGGCTTTTGTAATAGAATACAGGTAGCCGTGACTTCAACAGTTCATTTAGTGACAGTGGCACTGAAAATAGTGACTTTATGACCCTTTTCAGACCGATGGCCATTGCAGCCTCCCAATGGTCATGTGACTTACACCCAGATGCTTGACAAGGACTCATCCCTGATGGTTGCAGAGTTCAGGAGTCACTTTGGGACCTGACAAGCAAAGTCAATGGAGAACCCAGATTCGTTTAACAACCATCGCAAAAGATGATCACGTGACCCCAGGACACTGCAACCATCATAAATACGAACCGGTTGCCAAGCCTCAGAATTTTGATCAGGCGACTATGGGGAAGCTGCAACAGTCGGAAAACGGTCATGAGCCACTTTTTTCAGTGATGATGTAACTTTGGACATTAACTAAATGAACTGCAGTAAGTCAAGGACTCCCTGTGTTCTTTTTCTTCCTCTGCACAAGAAGAGGGCTGTCTCTTCAAAGAAGGTAATTTCACCTGAATCTGGGAAGAATTTAAGCTTTTTGCATCAGAAAATATTTGCCCTTTTTAATGTTCTCTGCAGGTCTGCGATATTTCCCAGAAGCCGACATCCATTTGTTAGACCAACTGACGGGAGATGGGAGAAAACTGGATTTAAAATATAACGGCAGTTGCTCTCTGGAGACCTTCTACAATGAGCCTAAGCATCCCAATGGGAACTCTTACCGTCTCCAAGCTTGGATGTACAGTTCCCGCTTCCTACAGTACGCAGAAGCTCTCAGCCATCTCCTGAGGACAGGTAATCC